CCCTCACATCCTGATTTCTTCCCGGTTTTCGGCCACTCTAATTTACGACCTTGATGTGAAAATCGAAATAAAGGGTAAATATTTGGCGGCTTTCAAAATCATTTTGATACTGAGGAATGACTTTCCTTTGAAACCAATATGACAAAGATAATGATGACATATGAACACGATAGCATGGTTAGTGGTGTATTAAGAACCTAAGGAACATTTCATCGGCCCAATATTCCTTTTCAATCAGGCACTTGATCATTTGTCCCAAGGGGTCTTTTGGCTTCTGGTTTCCCTCGAACACTGCCCCAGGCCGATTCCCCGCTCCTTGCGATACAAGACCATTGTTATGCGCTGTGACCCCAGATCCACACGGAGGCCCCCTTATTGTCTCAGGGGCCCCGACCGATGTGAATCACAGGCCCTGGCCCTGTCCTTGCTTCAAAATGGGCCCTGAGTCCCAGACCTGACGATCAAGTAATCTTGTGGCAAATCCGTCGCGTGTCACGGTCGTTTAGCCTCCACCACAGGGGTGTTTTTTTTCGCAAAGCAGGCAAGGGGGCTGAGCGGGGAGTCCTGGCTCCAAATACACCATAAGATAGGCTTCTTCCCAGATTTGACCCACTTTCCTCTCAACGTGAGGAAGTTGGATTCCCATCCAGATGAGTATCAAAACTACAGCACTGCTCTAATATGATTTCTCGTTCTGCCTCGGAGGTCGATGTTGTCGTTGCGCGTCACTACCATTTTGTTTGGCGTCGATGGTCGAAACTACGTTTCGGTAATCGACGCAGGGTCCATGTTATGTGGCTTCAGACGTTGTTGGACTGTATGGCTTTGGGCGTGGAGAGAGTAAAAAGCCTCCACCTCCTGAGTAGATGCATCCAACTTTTAAAGGCTGTCACGGAAACCTACGGCTGGAAGCCGTAAATCGCTATACAGACTGCAACACAGCACTGGCGTTAGGCATGTTCGACACGGTTAGTGCGGGCATTGTGGGACGATTGCCGCCATCAGTTAAGTCGGCTGGTGTCGATCGTCAAGTTTCCGTGGCTGTTCCATCGAATATTCACGTCGACTTGGAGGTCGGCACATTTGTATGGTTATTTCGAGCTTTGCCGACTGAAGATTTACCCACGTTTTTGGGTTTCAACATTTTACCGCTTTTTTCATTTCCAATAAAACATCGTATCGCACAGCGGCAAGATGGCGCAACTTGCTGCAGTCTGTGGATCTTCAAACGTCACCGAATAATGCCAAAACACGTACACAGTAGCATAAAATATGTCAGAGTCAATAATACACCTTCATCGTGTAATTAAAAGGAAGCATCATGGAAAAAGCATAAAAAATACTCAGGTAAGCATGGTACGAACGCGGAGCCTTTAAAGTGAGATTAACTCACTGAAGTGCGTTCCTCTGAGCACGGCATGGCATTTTTCATCTACCTCACTCCTTTGGCTTTGGAAATAATAAGCAGAAACCTCCTTTAAAATTGATACAGTTTCGACCGTCCAGTTTAAATGCCCTGTTAGCGCTCTATCTCCGGAATTTTGTGGCCAAACTCACCGTAGGGGGTGGGGTAAATCGGACATGGGGGACAGTGGTCCATCTAAAAGAATACAAAGCGACACCCGTGCGGTCTGGCTCCAACCATGAGTCCCAACTCCTCCCATTTAGAAGATTGGATACACCCATGAAACCCGCCCATGGACGCCATGTGAACATCATACTTCGTGTGTCACTGGGGCTTTACGACTCACTCAGCTGCTGAGGCTATATGACGTCGCCTACCTCTCGCCCTGGCGGGAGGGGCACCGCGGGGAATCGAACCCCGCACCTCTGGTTTCCCAGACGTGTTAGCAGACGCGTTAACCACTGCACTACCGGCATCCCTGAACATCCTATCTTGCTTACAGCATATAACAGACCTGTGGTCGAGATTGAAAGCAACTGGTCACTTCGCCTTCCCCATTAACCATCATCATGGGCACCCTGGCTACGCCTGGATCAAACTCTTAGCGTAGACCTGCTTTTTGTGCTGTTATTTCAGTTGAAACGACAAGGCAACATTTGTTTTGAGTACACTAAATTAAGAACCGATTTTGACAACTTCTGCCACCACCCTGCTGCAAATATCCTAGATTTTCCTACGAATTTCTAATGCTGAAAGTAAGTGGAACTTTATCAATTTCGATATCATAAGTCACCAATCTGTGTCGGCAGCGTCGAAATTGCTGGATAAATGTGATGCTGCATCGGATATGCCCACCCCCGCACACTCCAACCCGTCGTCCCCTTTGCCTCCACATCACAAATGCCGGACGTTTGATTTTCAGAAATGTAGTGCGCCCCGAGAGAAACCAAGGACGTTTCCTTTGTTTTGTTTTGTTTCAAAATCAGTCTGCAATTAGTTGTGCACAAATATAGATGTCGTCAAAATAAGTCACACGCCGTTTGCCGTGCATGTTTTTTCTCTTCAAAATGGGTATGTAGATCCTGCGATCTTTGGGGACGGTGGGATCCGCCACCGCTCACCTGGTATAGGGGTGACGGGAGCCAGACCGGAATAAGGTTAACACCTTTCTTGCTCGTGCGAAGCATGCCCCACCTACTTTTACCTTGTATGCACGTGGTATGTGTGTCGTATCTTGTGTATGTCGTATCTTGCAGCTTTCAGTGGTCGTGAGAGTTTTGTTTTACAGACTCACCATAAATATATTATGTATTTTCCTCCGAACATTCATGTTGTGTGGATGTGCACAGCATAGCATACAAAACCAGTCGCTCTCACTGGACGTACAGCCTCCAGATAGCGAGGGTCACGTATGCAAAACTCCGGCCGCTTCGCGGGACGGGCGTGCGGCCAGGTGGCGACGAAGGGGCCGTGTCGCTAAAGCCCTAAAAATGCGTACCGCGCTGAGGCCAGTTTGACGCCGGGGGTCGGCTCACCGGCCTGTCACTATCGAGTTATTGACCTGAGTGTGTCGCTGACCCTTACAGTGATTGTGAAGGAATTTAGCCCAGGTGGGGCTAAGTCAACCGTCGTGCACGGCGTCAAACAGCCACCCATCTCACGGCGCTATGGCGACCGGTCCGTGGGTGGCATTGGGGCCCAGCCACGTGGACAGGTGATGAAACTGAGTCCGACATTAAGATGACAGTGAAAACACCGTGCGGCAGCTCCTGTTTTTTGTGTTGTTGTTTTTGTCGATGTGGTAGGAACTTCTCATGAGCTGGTGCAGAAGTGTACCAGCCTATGTTGCGTTTTTGTGATGGAACGTAGCTTGATGCTACAAGGCATTGGACTGACAGCAATGTGTTACCATCATTGCGTTCACCGCTTATTAAGCTTTCCTAGTTATGCGCGGCTCGTGTTCTCTTGGTGGGCTTTACCGTTTCGCTGGATTGTCTTACGTCAAGTTAAGTAAGTTAATTTTTGCGCTAAGTCCTTTACAAAAATGGATGTGTCATGCTATCGAAGAGGATGCAATCCCTCGCCCGCCTGCAATCGCTTCGAGTGAATGCTGACCAGTCAAGTCTCTTGAATCTCTGAATGTGCACGGCTTTCAGCTAATTGATTAGCTCGCACATTTGTAATTCAAGCACGAACAACCTGGCATAGCTTTTTATGTCAAAAAGTGTCAGCCTGGCTTGACTTATCATTATAGCGAGAATAACTGGAAGAAGAAACATCGACGTTTTATGGTGTACCATCCCGATGATACCGATAGTATCGGAGCGGTACTGTAATGCCGACTTCGGGAGCCTGAGTGACTCTGGCACCACCATTTCTATCCATTTTAGTTTCATGTTGACTTGTTTAGTGTTGGAAGAGAGCTGAAGAAACGAAGCACGCAACTCCGGCAATGTATCATATTTTCATCACATTCGAGTTGTTCTCAAAGATGGATTAAACGTTGTCTACGTGATGACCGGCTAGATCTGACGTTCATTTTTCTCAACTGAAGGAAATGCATGAACTGGTGTGGCCTATCGTGGCCCTCAGATTCGGTTTTTAACGAGCCTTTAAGTATGTTTGCATTTAGTTACGATGGAGCTCCCAACAAATTGCGTATTGTGCAGGGATTGTCAGCAGCTCGTTGAGTTCATTGAATTAAAGCCTAGATAGTTTCATTTCAGTTCGGAATATTAATATCATGCTCCCAGCTTTTGCAACTCACACACTGAAGCCAGTTTTGTTCATACTCAGCCTGCACCGCACGCGGTGACACATTGTCATTTTGTTTTTTTATAAAGCATCTGTTTGCTATTTTGAGGCATTTCATTCTTGTTTTTCTGCTCGCATTCATCCTGCAACATTCTTTTCCATAATTCGAAAAGCTTAGATCCAGCTGCGGGACTCATTCCCATTCTGCATTGCTTCAACTATAATTTTCAACGCTTACCTTTCCACAACTTTAATTCGCACTTCTCACATGTGTATATGGCTCTTCTGTTACCATTACAAGGAAGGCAAAGCATTCAACAATATTCGGTGGTGGTAAGTAGCGACTGGTAATCATTAATAACCATTTGGGTTAGAATTTATGAAGTTGTGGTCTGGGTGATACCACATGCGCAGGTAATGGCAAACACGTGTCTTTCACCGCCCCACGTTACACGCCATCATGTCACATGTGCGGCACGCCGTGCCGGTCGCAGGGTGACCGCGGGTGGCGCCTTCTGTGTACCTAAAATAATTGTCATCGCTGCAACGTGCTGTCGGAACGGCGTTATTTATTTGGCGGCAAACACGCCCTTGCTCCCTCCCGAGCATTGCTGGCGGACTGAGATATGTGTTCTACGCTATAACCAGTTGTTGGATGACACGTTTGTAATAGCCCCTTCAGAGCATTATGACAGATGGCTATGTTGTGTACGACAGTCGTGCATAACAAGAGGATGAATAGAAGCGTTGTTGGTGCTATCAGTTTTAATTTTGACAGCGGCTAGATGGTTAAACCCAGCAGGTAAAGATTTCGCGCTAAAGTGTGTGTATTTTGTTACAGATATGGGTTCACCAGAGAAGTAATTTCGAAGTATAAGGTAAGTGCGCTCTGATAACTGCCTAGAAAGTAGCGTATGCACTTGCAGCACGGTGAGAACGATGTTGAGCAAACTGTTTTAAACAAGTTGTGGGTGTTATTAAGTGCTTGTGCTACTGAATCCCCACGTAGCATTAAAAATTACCAAAGTTAAGTGCTTTGGTAACTGTTTTCTCATTTTTGTTCTCTAAATTGTGTGCCTTGAAGTCGAAAGCGGGTTCGCGTGTATTAGGTATGGGATCGGATGTCGGCAACACAAGAAATGCGTGACAACAATTTTTTGCGGCACCTCACATGCGCTTGGAATTGATCACTACTTCTACATCGGTCTTACTAGAAGAAAATGCACTATTCCTGCTCGTGGGCCGGCGACATATCGTCTTAAGTGCTGCCTGATTACCTTTGGAAACTTCACCAAAATTGATTCTAATGAAACTAGTGTAGGAATCAAGTGACGTTTTGATGTAATCTTGTAATGTCAGAGTGAGCTTAGCTTTGCACTGTTATGTTTGCAGCCATAAAAAGGTTAGAATCAGTTTCTTCTGCCCCATGTGTTATGGTCACATTTGACAGCACATTCCGTGGGAGGTCAGTGAAGCACGAATCTGTTAGTAAGTACTCAAACCATACCAAAAAACGCTTGGATCGGATCACGTGCGTCTGAAAAAATCAAGCAATTATTACTATACACGACCGACTGGGTTTGACGCTGCGGTGCGACCTGCTACCTTTGCCTTATTGTTCCGGGCGAATCCCCCAATTCGGATTGCAGTGACCGCTGAAGATATCGGAACAGACAGGTGGTCCGTGGGCAGGGACAGGTGATTAGAGGGCGGAGATAGCAGATTGGAGGGTAGGGACGGCGGATTGGAGGACGTGAACGGCGGATTGGAGGGCAGGGGCAGCAAACTGGGTGGCAGGGACAGCGGGTTAGAAGGCAGGGATAGCGGGTTGGGGGTCAAAGACAGCAGATTGGAGGGCAGGAACAGCGGGTTGGGGGGTCAGGGACGGTGGATTGGAGGGCACGGATGGCGGATCGGAGTGCAGGCAGTGGGTACCAGTCCCCTCCCTCTCCCCTTCCTCACAGCTTCGGCCGGATTTGCCATTTTCCCTATATCACTGCCTGGAGAGCCGCGAACTACATCCACCTCCCCACCACCCGCGTTCGGCCGCCAGCGTTCACAGCAGCCCCGAGAATGGACTGTCGCTGCCCGCGGGTCGCTCGTGCTCCGTGACCGGGCAGTGAGCGCCGGCGACACGGCGCCGGGGGAAGGCCACCGCGGTCCGACACGGGGCCGGTGAAGCCCCACCGCGCCACAGGCCGAGACCCCGTCACGAACCGGTCGAACGCTCGCCGCAGGGCGCTGGCAGTCCTTTCTGACCGCTCGGCTGGACAGCGAACGGGTTGGATTTAAATAAGAAAACGTTCATGGTTACTATGCTGAAAGCTGCTGCGTTTCGTTCTAGTTTTTGTGGTATGCTAGTTTTCCCAGGCGTTTGGTCTTCATGATGCAACGACCTCACACGCTTTTGCTTTGACATGACTTCTGTGAGGCACGAGCGCATCATTTGTGAGCCACGGAAGGTGACACTGTCGTGACCATTACGTCACGACAGGCCCAATTAAATAAAAAGGTTCAGGCATGGCAAAATTGTTGTCATAACTAGCAAGTTATGACCCGTGTGATTTTGCTCATAATTTAAGTTGTTAGGACCGTAAGGATGCTATTTGAACTTAAACCCTTCAGTTCCTTGAAAGGAAATCAAATGGAAACACCTTTTCGAATGTTCAACTGCTTTACCTCTGAGCGTGGACCATGGACGGACAGATACTCCACTGACCTTCGACCGATCTATAAGGGGGCAAGTTAAAGTTGGGTAAGTTTGAGAGGATTGTCTTGAGTCTCCTGAAACCTTGTATTCTTTTTCCACAAAATAGAGTCAAATATAAGCCATGATATAATGTAATACAAGATCAAATTTAACGTTACACCTTCGTCGTGAGATACAACACAAAGACGTGAGCAACATATTCCCAGCGTAGTTCTGTCATTGACAAACTTTAGGTGAAGCCTCAGTCTACTCGTCGACTTTTTGTAAAGCAAAGTAATATAGTAAGTGATGTTTTGTAAAGCTCTTCTCTTTGAGCTTCGAGACTCTTGGTTGTAACTGACCTGCGCGGAAATAATTCTGTGGATCACATATGCGCTGTCAGATCTGAAATATGTTTGTGCCTTGACCTACTATGCGTCTTTAGAATTGCCACTGGTAGTCCGGAAAGCTCGCAACATTTAACATGCGCCCGGTTGGCCGGTTGAATACCCTTCGCTCTGCGAGAGGTATTCAACTGGCCTATAAGCGTTAAGGCGGTGAAAAACCACCAGCGTTCAGACGTACCCCAAAACCATTAATTTTGCATCCTCTTTGCTGATCCCGGCCCTGCGGCGAACAATAATGCTAATAAGCCGCTCTTGCCTGTTTCAGTCGGTGACAGCACATGGTGCTGCCGCTGGTTGAGCCGCCCATTTCATGGAGCTGGGCATTTCGCGAGTCACGGACGAACAATGGATCATGCACTAATCGTGCAGAATTTTCGGAACTCGTAATGCCACGGCCAGCCATGAACGAGACAACGCAGCGTTCGCTGCCAAACGCTCGGCCTGGCAGGCTTGGCTGCCAGGGCTATGAATGGGCATCAATACGCGTAGTGGGGGCTGAAATTGAATCCAGGTTATGTGCCAATTTCGCCGTGATCTATGTACTCTTCTATGCCCTGCATCTGGCTAGAAATGGGGATACGCGACAGATCGACAGGATACGCGAGAGAGAGAGAGCGTGAGAGAGAGAGAGAGAGAGAGAGAGAGAGAGAGAGAGAGAGAGAGAGAGAGAGAGAGAGAGAGAGAGAGAGAGAGAGAGAGAGAGAGAGAGAGAGAGAGAGAGAGAGAGGGAGAGAGAGAGAGAGAGAGAGAGAGAGTGAGTGAGTGAGTGAGTGAGAACAAGAGAGAGCACACTCTCTCGGTAGTCTCGGTAATGATCTGCTCGGGCGGCAGAGATAAGTAACTCTACATTCTCCGGAACAGAATGCAAGTACATCATTTAGAGTCTGAAAACAGAGTGTTTGGTATTTGACCGACTTTCAGCGCTGCTTCGAGCGTATGCCAGCGACGTTGTTTGCCCCCACTCCTCGTGTGAGCGATGGCACAGTTGTCGCACAAACGACTGGACAGCTCCTCTGCTGCGACGTTCCGCACGAGTTGACTGTTACGGTAATGACGCACTTGCGCGGGTCTAGCCGGCGGGCGAATGCTTTGACTCGTAAAGGCTTGTTCGTTGCCAGAGTTACGCCTGCTTGTAGTCGTTCTTCATAACGAAAATGGATAATAAAGGACTGTTTGGCCCCCAGTCATTTGTAAACTTAGCACGATAGTGCCCCGTAAAAAATATGTCGATTGGTCTCGGCGAGGTGTCGCAGTTGGTGTCTTGTTCTGTGTTTCTAGTTCTAGTTTCTAGGAAAGGGTGAGTATGTTGGCGTGATTGGACGACATCGTGGTAGGTGTGTGTTAAAAACAGGGGTTTGACTCCCTCCGCATCATGGCGAGGGTTACGGCTTGATATCATGAGATGTCTTAAGTTCATCATAATTGTATCGTCATCATCACTGGATACATCACTGCATAATCATATGCGCTAGATACATGACTGAATCATCATTATCATTACATGCATAACTTCTGCATCAAACAATGTCTAGTTGGCTTGAAGCTCGTCAAGTGAGATTTGCACATTCCGTGTGGTCGGCCAAGAAATAAAACATAATTGGGGCATTATTAGAAGAAAATCTTCATGCTTAGTTTACGAGGTTCATCATGCCAGAAGGCACTGGTTAAGCAATGTGGTAATGCTAAATAATGATTACATTTGCATAATTGTTGTAATATAGCATATGAATACATATATGATATAGATATGCATATGATAGAATATAATCAATATAAACAACTGTAACTAAGTAAATGTAACTAAATAACAACATAAATATATGTATGGTTTTAAATAGACGACATTTGATATTGACATCAAAACACAATTGTGGTATTGTGAGTACAAAGCTCTTACGTTGAGTAAACGGTCTTTGATCTACTACAAGGTGCTGGCTAAATGATGTTGCAACGTTAAGTAACGCTTATTTTGACGTTACCGGATATATAATAAATGCCATCAACTCATAACCAGAACTTTCAACTCTTTATGTCAAAAATGCAAGATCCGAATGCGTTTCTTCTTATATGAAAATTGGGGCCTTAGCCTCAGAGTGCCAGGGACACATGTTGGTCTCCGCCCAAAGCTATGTGCGAGCTCGGATGATATTTCGTTATTTATCATCGTCACGTTCTCTCACATGGGAGACACTGACACAGGGACACAGGGACAGGGACACTGTGGTGTTGGCGATCTGTAACATGATTCATGTTTCATGCACATCACTGGGCATGACGTCCTTCAGGAGCATTGGCGTGTTCGCCAGGCTAATATCAGATCAACATTTTGTTCTTAAAAACAAGGCATGGCTGCTGGACTGATTTGCTAGGAAGAGAATATCCGGCTTTGTCTGGCTTGCTGTCGCCCAATCAAAACAAGTGGTTTCTGGAACAGGCGTTATCGACCTCGTTGCACGAAAAACGTAATTTCCCCGGAGCCAGGTGCAGCGTCTTCTGTGACCTGCATATAATGTATCGTCTCCTGTGACCTGCATATAATGTATTGTCTCTTTTGACCTGTACATAATGTATGGTCTCCAGGCTGTTTGGAATCTGGCGTGGTCAACTGCAGGGCAACCAGGTGGATGTTGTCCAGCCTGCTTTGCTGAGAAATGCGCCTGTCGAATTTGTAACAAAGGCCCTGCAAGAGTGCTGCTTGGTGCTGCCTGCTGTTTTGCTCTGCTTTGAAAGCAACAGGAAATTCACAAATGTACACGCCTCGGGCATTAGAGCGCGTAAATATTTTGAGTGAGAGGTTTGAGCTGCAACAAAGCGGTTTCAGTTTATGACAGACCTGTAACGTAGGTTACCTGTGACCGCAAACTACGTATAAATGGCTGAGAATTACCGCGCATGCCTGACCAGATCCATCGAATATGCGCGATCGATCGCAAAGAGAGATGCAATGGCCTCAGCTCCCTTCCTCACTTGTTCATCAGAAGGCTGACACCGCCCACCGTCACCAGCTAAGTGTTGTCCCTGAGTCGTCGAGCGAGGGCCCCTTAATGGCATCGCAAATGACAAGCCCCCAGGGCGTGTCCAGACTTGTGAAGGATGCGGAGAACGGAAGGCCCAGTGTGCTCGGCCTCAGTTCCATGACCGTTCTCTTGTCGGTGAGGTCGGCGCAATTCTTGTGGATGATATCTACGAGGTCGTTAACCTTGGCTTTAATCTTATCTTAACGCGGGGGTTCTTCCGACCTCCTTTCTCCCGGTGTTCCTTTCGTGACGGCTGCATTTCGAATCGTCTTACCTGCTACCTGGGCCTGCCTTGCTAGGCTTTTGGATGTGTCAGGAAGAATCACTGCCTGTTCAAGGCAAACGTGCCGCACGACGCACTTCACCCGGCCGATCCTGGACTGGAGTGAGTCACTAACTGATATGCTGTCTTACGACTGACTACGTTTAGGTGTGCGTGCGGGCGGCCGCGCGGGCGGGCGGGCGTGCGTGCGTGTGGTGCATACGAATTGCTACGGACGGATCCAGGAGCACTGGGGGTAAGAGTTCAGATACTTAAAGGGAATGTTCCACATGTGAAGGTGTTGAAGCAAGCGTCAGATTCGATGAAATAAGCTCACTTATACCTGATAGTATAATGCTATTTGGAAAAGTATGTCTTAGATAACACGACCTCTTTGTTCAGTGAATATGCTCCTCAATACGTCATTGTTTGACTGCACCACCGTACCTTGCACAGCATTGACTAAGAGCCAATTGACAGCCGTTATATCTGGAAATCGTGCTCACGAACGTCAGCTATGAACGACTCGACGATTATGTTTTTATTGGCCGTAATCGCCGCATGGCTAATGAAATGGCAAGACTGGAAAGACGTTATTATGGCGCCATGAATCCCTGGGTGACCTTGAAAAATCTCCCCGCAATAGTCTGCATTTTCGCAGGCGCGCAGCTCAGAAATTAGAGGGAAGTCTTTATAACGGAGTGGCTGTGAACTGTTCCGAACGATCTTCAAAATGGCTGTTTCAGTTTAAAGCTCCATACAAATGTGAAATGCTCCCTTTACCTGCACACGACCCAACCTAAATGTCTCGTAAAAGCAATGTAATCTTATCAGCTATATCCTGCGAAAGAAATCCAGTAATAAAAGATATACAGGTAATGCAAATGTGGTCTACTTCATTGTCATGAAAACAGAATCACCCTACTCCGCGGGGCACGTCTACTCCATGTGTGAGCGAATCAATCGCTGTGCTGTGACTTATCCGGCGCATATGGTGCGCGCAAACTTCGAAACGCATGACGATTCCAGTTGAGGCAGGGCCCCGCATTGGACTGCGTATATTTACCCGATGCAATGGTCTACATTTATCTCAGAGTTCATTTATTCTGTCATGTATCGTGCCGTTCACATCTGGGTGATGCGTGACCTTGGAATTACTTCCAGCGCGCTTTCTCCTTCCGTGTCCACCATTAACAGCGCTATTTAAATTGTGCTTGTCTTAAGAGAGTTTACTCCCCCCTCCCCCCCCCCCCCCCCCCCCCCCCCGGTAAATGTGGGCAATAGAACAGCGAAGTTAGCTAGGCGGACTCCGAGATCTCAGTGGTTAATGGAGCCCATTGGCGTCGAATAAAAGCGAAATTTCCTGGACAAAATCGGATTAAATGTGGCACAGACGAACGAGTTGGTCCATCCAATGGAAATTAGGGAATGTGTGGCCTAGCACTAATCACATTCTGATTACGGAGGCAACTGTCTCTGTCCTGGCGATCAAGACCGGATGCGTTTTAAATGTTTCAGGCAGAAGCATCAGTACGACTGAGCACACACAATCATCATGGAATATCAGCGTATGCATGTTTTAAGTACCATTCTGTGTGGGCTCCTTCTTTTAAGAACGCGTCTAGCTATGCGTTCATGCCAGTGGGTGTCAGACCCCCCTCTGCCACGGCACCCCGTTCCCATTTCCCCGCCTTGCCATGTTTGGATCATTGCCGTGCGCTGGTTGCCGCCGCGCGTCGGCCGGTGCGCCGGTGCCTGATCCTGCCGGCCGGGCCGGCTGTCTGCTGCAGGGTCACTCGTCTGCACTGCTGGCGCTCCTCGAGGAGGTGTTCTCCTGGCTGCCGGTGGGCACCATCATCGACCGGCGCGTGCTCGTGGTGCACGGCGGCGTGTCGTTCGACACAGACCTGCACGGCCTGGAGGCCATCGACCGACATCAGGTCTGTCGCCGGCTAAGGTCAGGTGTCCGGGAGGGCACGCCGCGAGGGAAGGAGGTGTGCGTGTTTTGCTGTCTGGCGGCGGTGGCGGCATGCGAGGCGTTGCTTAGCTCAGCGATAGATAGAAGAACTGTATTCGAATGTTCGGGACTTTAAGGACGGGTTAACCGCCACAGTCGTTTAGTATTTGGGAGCCCATCGCACTCATCTTGCGAATTGTGATAAAAAACGGGTCATTCCCATCACAAAACATTTAAAAAAAAACATTTTTGAAAACTCCTACCATATTTGAGACAGAATTGGTAAATTCATCAAATGCTAATCGACTGATGAAACCCGCAACGTGCGTGCCTTTGTGGCTACAATTAAGGTACAAAAGCGAAACATCCGTCAATTTTTGTCACAAACTACTAGAGAGAGAGGAGAGAGAGAGAGAGAGAGGGAGAGAGAGAGAGGGAGAGAGGAGAGGGAGAGAGAGGGGGAGGGAGGAGAGAGAGAGAGGGAGAGGAGGAGAGGAGAGAGAGAAGAGGAGAGAGAGGGAGAGGAGAGAAGAGAGAGGAGAGAGAGAGAGAGAGGGAGAGGGAGAGGGAGAAGAGGGAGAGGGAGAGGGAGAGGGAGAGGGAGAGAGAGAGGGAAGAGAGAGAGAGAGAGAGAGAGAGAGAGAGAGAGAGAGAGAGAGAATAATATATATATATAATATAATATTATATATATATATAAATGTGTGTATATATTGCCATCTAAATATATATATATATATATATATATATATATATATCCACATTTTATGCACATACATTTGTATTCACAATTTTATATATATACCAGCATTCTACCAGCAGAGGCTTCAGCTCTATTTGAATCTGCTTCAGTCTGAACGATCCGTTCTTTCCACGTCCTTTCATAACACAAATAATCGACGCATGTGCATTGGTTGTGGAATAGCCCCCTTCTAGTTCACTTCCTTGACAAATTTTGCACATTAGATTTTGTTTTTTCGGTGAGTGCCACCTGAA